TAAACGCTTTATAAACGTGGTTATGCAATTGGAAATTGAAAAAAAAAGTTTTAAAACAATTGCTTTAAATTTAGATTTTGCTCCTCCACTAAATGAAAAATTAATAATTAAAAAAAATTGATAATTGTGCGTAAATTGTTGATATTTCATTTATTGCTTTCATACATTAATATGTAGATTAGACCAATTGTGAAGATCAACATGTGGCATTTAGTTAAGGTTATATTTAGAATAATGCATGTATACCGGTAGTGCGATAATATGGAATTTACTCTATCTATTTTGAGTATTGAGCGGGTGAGCGCAGCGAACAAGTAACATATTATTCTCAACACGAGAAATAAATTCCATATAATGAAACATCCATGTATTTTTGTTTTTATCATAATTATAATAAAAAAACTGGAAACTGTTTTTTTTTTAATTTTTTTATCCCCAGTGTATACCTAACTGACTCCTGATTAATGGATCGCACACGTGTTATTATCGCTTTTCACAATGGCGGATTCGCCAGTAAAAAGTATATAATAAAAAGTGATATTTTAATGTGTGAACTTTTTCGTTTAAAGGTAAACAATTAGATCAAAATTCATTACATTAAAAATTTCAAATATCAAATAGTTCATGCTTCGTACGTGAACGAAAATCGTAAGGCACAACCTGCTAAAGGATTCTGTAATATTGGAAAACAAAAATATTTCGACTCTTTTCGAGAATATTCTTCGAGACCTTCAATTTACATTTTCATTAAAACAAGTACGCTCGCCGCTGTTATAATTAATATCACACAATGTCATGCATCAACACTGCTGAACTACATCAATAATTAGCTGCATGCATGCAGGGAACGTAAAGAGGAATATCAATTTTGCATAGCAAAACTGCGTGAGATGGAGATGTTCGTGCAATGAATTATTCGAAAAAAAGTTTGATAAATTACCCTCCACATCCAGATTATGTTTGGATGTGAAAGGAAACTATGCTAAAGAGTGGTCTCAAATCAAAATATCCTAATTCACGATGAAGAGTATGCTTTAATTATTGATATTTCATTAATATGCGTGTCAAGCAAATATAAACTCTACCATATTAATAGAAGCCTCAAAGACGTTTCAATTCATTATAAGAATGGCTGTCTTAGCAGGTATTTGTGCTGTGTTAATTTGCACTTCAAGAATACTACAGCCCGGCGATTGTTCTACCGTCCAAGCTGTCTTCGGTAAAAATTATGGCAAATACTTAGCGAATCATGTCATCGAAACAAAACATGCTGAAACTGAGTTGGAATGCAGTATGTATTGCACTAAACATGGATCTTGTATGTCAGCGAATTACAAAATTTCAGGAATTGGCAAAGGTCGATGTGAGCTCAACAGCAAGACCCTTCAAGGTTTAGCTGGCGATGATGAAAGTACAAATGACCCCGAGTTCAAACACCTTCGTGTTATTGAAAAGGTATGGTAGTAGTTTAAATTTTTGAAGAAAAACTGAGGCCTAGGAAAGTCCACTTTCAACTATTTAATTTATTACCTCTGGGAATGTTGCTGCATTATATCATATAGCAGACTAATCGATAAATAAGAAACAGAAAACATTTTCCATATACATGGTAAGTAATCAGGGAACTCGAAATAATCACGTTAGTTGCAAGTATTTCTTTAAGTGCATAGAAACATATAGGGAAAAAAGTAATAAATTGTCATAACATAATTTACAAAGACTTTTACAAACACTCGAACTGTAACGTGTTTTTATATAGCTAAAATAATAAACCCAGGGCCTTTATCCTTTTATTTATTAAAAATGCAAATTTTATTCTCTTTTCTCTTGGGCGAAATAAAATAATAAAAATAATAATAACGAATATCGTTAAATGAAAACCGAGACGAAGTCGAGGTTTTTTTATTCGCCGATATTCAGGAGCCTGAGGTGAATGATTGTTTTAGTATAGTTACAAAGGTAAATTTTTGAAAAAATGAATCTGTTGTAGAAAATACACATGTTTTACAAAAGTAAACAAATATCTCGACGGTATTGCGGCAATTTAAATAAAACTAAAATGTTTTCGAAATAAAGCTGAAAGGCGTTCTACAAAGTAGTTGTTACCTTGAAAATAATTTTATGCCTAATTTTTTCACTCCTTTTGCTCTTTCAGGTACGATATTCTCGTCAAAATAAGGTGATTCAGTACTGAGTATCGCGTAATAATCCAAGGTCGATCGACCAATCCGAGACCAGAATTTTCAATAATCACCTTTTTTAATTATACTAAAAAAATTTTGGCCTGAAGCAATTATTTGAACATCACTGACATGAAAAATAGTCAAGCAATGAAAAATATTTTTACTTGTATAATGATTACCATGTTTCCTTAAAACATTAACCAAATAAATACAACGCAGAGAACTGTTGTGTAACTGTTTACATATACCTAAATATAATCATTGTTACCTTGAAGCAGTAAGTCATAAATTTCGCTTGACACTGGCCGCTTGGATGGCGCGAGAAAGCGAGAGAAATATAATGCCGAGTTTCTGGGCATAATTGTTGTCGAACCAAAAAGCACTAACCGAAATCTTTGTTATAAATCAAATCTCTGAACTTTTTCTTCATTGTAGGTGCTTCCGAAACTAGATCCCACAACACTACTCACAAGCAGCAACCTACATGTATCATCGCAAAGTATTCCCACAGGTAATTATATATGACGTTCGAGGTAATTATACAGGGTGAGTAAAAAAAAACTGACACCTTTGAAATTCAAATTAGTCGCATAGCGGCTGTAATGTGGCAGAAGTTGCTTAAAATATTTCATACGTATACGAAGCATATCATATTACTTAACCTAAAGCATTAAGTTTGTTCTCAATGGGAGTTAAAATGCATTCTAAGCTCTGTAAATACAAAAGAACAGTTTATCAAATCGTTTTTGTTGAGTGTACATGGGAATTGTCATACTCCTGCCATAAGTTCCCAGCTAATTTGAATTTCAAAGGTGTCAGTTTTCACTGGGCGAAAAGCCGCATATTCCGCCCTCTATACCACGCAATATGATCGGGAATATTATTGATATTCCTAGATATTCTGGGGTATTCCTTCGGAATATTTCCGGAATACTGGTAGTATTGCGCGCAGAATACGTCGGAATAAAATACACCTGATATTCCGTGGCAGAATATCGTCGGGATAGCAGTTGTTGAGTTATGCGTATATTTTGCTAAATACAGCCTTGCACGTCATGTTAGTTACAATGTGATTCACTTGAATTAGTACAAAATTTTTGTACATTCATTTTATTAGACTTTCATTTCATTATATAAATGACCAATAGCCCTGATAATCGTATAGAGCAAGATTATCTTTGGGTGCATAAAGTGTACAAGATTTCTCTGATATTCAGATAAATATTGTCATGCATTTTCATTGACAAATGGATACAGGCGCTCTTGCAAAAAATGTTACCAAGTACCAAACTCGAAATGTTACAAAGGGTAAGTAAAGTAGCATATAACATGAAGAATTGTAAATGTTGAATGGAAGTTCTGCCGCCGAGCCTTCTGCAACCTCCGATGTATTGTGCGTTCTACGCAAAGAGGCATATAAGACCTAGTAGATAAATTTAGCGATTAAAGCTCGCCGAGTCCGGCCGATTTCAAATATCATTGATTAGTAAAAGTCTGTCCCTAATTACGAAATTATGTTTGGAAGTAATATTTCTCTTCGCGAATTCAAATTTTCATAACGAAATTTCCGAAGGGGGTAATAATGGGTGAAATAGGTATCCTACTTTGAAAGGTCTTTATCTCCATTTTGATCGTTACTGTATTGTCCATCATCCGCAGTTTATGAATCAACTATATATATAAGCTGGTGGGAAACGATTCATGATCATGCACACAGGCGGGCAGAAAAATTATTCCGAATCAACCAAGTTTAAAGAAATTGATTATACGAATTTAAAGTCCAAGCAGTATAAAAATGCTTGGCAGACTGATAGATATTCCCTACCCAGATGAAACATAATGAGTATAGAAAGATATAATATAATAAATATAATAATGAGGAAATATATTATGCTCAAACACATAATTTTTATTTCTGCTACCTTCATTTATAGATTAATGGTGAAAAGATACATGTGTGCTACATTTCGTTGGGGGCTTCTTTTTTTACCACCCTCTGTATATTATACACTTAATGTATGCTCCCGAGGGAATAGTGAGTTTTGTTTTCCCAAGAGTCTGAATGTTTAAAGAATTAAGACTCGAGGGAAAACAAAACTCATACTATTTCCCGAGGTGTAGCGTACATTAAGTGTTTTGCCATAGGAAAAAACATTCATGTTACACGACAATTCATTTCACAAAACTTTGTTATGACAATATACGGGCATCAATTTTTCACTTGTTTCCCTGCATCACGGGAAACATTGCATTTATATAAAGTCATGTGATTGCGAATGAACCAATCACATTTATAATATACAGCACCTATACACAATATACACTTAATGTATGCTCCAGAGGGAAATAGTGAGTTTTGCATAACGACAATTTCTTTTCAAAAAACGTTGCTATGACAATATGCACGCAAAAATTTTTCACTTGTTTCCCAGACGGGAAACATTGCATTTTTTGAAAGTCATGTGACTACGAATGAATCAATCACATTTAAAGTAAACAGCACCTACCACATTTAAAGCACGGTTTAGACTTGCAATCCACTACCATACCACAAAAATAAAGGAAACCATGCAATCAAATACGATAGTTCTATCACACTAACTATGCAATCACGAAATCAATCGATTACTGATACTTATACTGTAGTTGTAGTGGAAATCAAATCTTAAGCTATAATGATGAACATGCACTTAACTCAAAAATTACTTACTAGTAAACCAAAAATAGTATACAAAAAATCCCGAAATATTATTCTGTTGCAACCTCAATTCATGCATGTAAACACATAATTTTCTAAAGTAATTTTTTGCCATTTAATTTGCAGATATACAGATTAATCAGTAAAAGAGCTAAGTACGTCTTTTGCAGAGTACGAAATAGATCGTCGCACACCTCCGCGCGTTCTTACACCCCTCCCTCCTCGCGTCCGTAACGCAGTTCCCCCACGAGATGCACTGGCTGACTTATTAAATTCTGTCCGCAGAGATTGCTTCACAGCCCATGTAGGAGCATCTTTAGGCGCTTTCTTAAAAGATAACCCAGAACTGGTTCTCTTTGTCCGTTCTTTCATAAATTCTTTCTTCGTATCCTTAATTCGACTGTCCAAAGTCCTAAGGAACTGCGTCACATTGTTCGCTCTCCAAGGCAATTCCAAGTGGCGCCAACCTTCCCCATCAGTGTCATCTTCATCCTCTGACATGTACCCTACTTTCAGAATTGCGCCAAATTCTTCCTGTTCTTCATCTGTTACAACTTTTAATCGCCTTTCCAACAACTAAATAAGTCACACAAAACAAAAAAGTCATTATCAACGGAATAAATTATATTAAACGTATCGTTGCTTCTTCTGGAAAACGATTTTGACATACCCTTTCCCTTCTGCTTCGCATGCACATTCTTCTCTTTTTCCTTGGCGTGATGGGATTGCGCGCCAATTTCTTTCGGGATTGAAAGTGGATCTTGACCGCTTCTACACGAAAACAAGTAGCCTGCAGGCATGATCATGATCATGTGAAAGACTATAAATATATACATCATGCAATGGTCAAACTGTGTGCATTCAGACGAAACATCATGCAGGACACGAGCCAGATTTTCACATTACATTTTGGTTATCCTATAGAGAAGTGCAGATATATACGTCTGCGCTCATCAAATTAAAATATTTGATATATACATCATGCAATGATCAATCTGTGTGCATTCAGACGAAACATCAGACACGAGCCAGATTTTCACATTACAATTTAGTTATCCTATAATAGAGAAGTGCAGATATATACTTCTGCGCTTATCAAATTAAAATATTTAATATATACATCATGCAATGATCAATCTGTGTGCATTCAGACGAAACATCAGGACACGAGCCAGATTTTCCATTACAATTTAGTTATCCTATAGAGAAGTGCAGATATATACTTCTGCACTTATTAAATTAAAATATTTAATATATACATCATGCAATGATCAATCTGTGTGCATTCAGACGAAACATCAGGACACGAGCCAGATTTTCACATTACAATTTAGTTATCCTATAAGAGAAAAGTGCAGATATATACTTCTGCGCTTATCAAATTAAAATATTTAATATATACATCATGCAATGGTCAATCTGTGTGCATTCAGACGAAACATCAGGACACGAGCCAGATTTTCCATTACAATTTAGTTATCCTATAGAGAAGTGCAGATATATACGTCTGCGCTCATCAAATTAAAATATTTGATATATACATCATGCAATGATCAATCCGTGTGCATTCAGACGAAACATCAGGACACGAGCCAGATTTTCACATTACAATTTAGTTATCCTATAATAGAGAAGTGCAGATATTACTTCTGCGCTTATCAAATTAAAATATTTAATATATACATCATGCAATGGCAATCTGTGTGCATTCAGACGAAACATCAGGACACGAGCCAGATTTTCACATTACAATTTAGTCATCCTATAGAGAAGTGCAGATATATACTTCTGCACTTATCAAATTAAAATATTTAATATATACATCATGCAATGATCAATCCGTGTGCATTCAGACGAAACATCAGGACACGAGCCAGATTTTCACATTACAATTTAGTTATCCTATAGAGAAGTGCAGATATATACTTCTGCGCTTATCAAATTAAAATATTTAATATATACATCATGCAATGGCAATCTGTGTGCATTCAGACGAAACATCAGGACACGAGCCAGATTTTCACATTACAATTTAGTCATCCTATAGAGAAGTGCAGATGTATACTTCTGCGCTCATCAAATTAAGATATTTAATATATACATGATGCAATGATCAATCTGTGTGCATTCAGACGAAACATCAGGACACGAGCCAGATTTTCACATTACAATTTAGTTATCCTATAATAGAGAAGTGCAGATATATACTTCTGCGCTTATCAAATTAAAATATTTAATATATACATCATGCAATGATCAATCTGTGTGCATTCAGACGAAACATCAGGACACGAGCCAGATTTTCACATTACAATTTAGTTATCCTATAATAGAGAAGTGCAGATATATACTTCTGCGCTTATCAAATTAAAATATTTAATATATACATCATGCAATGATCAATCTGTGTGCATTCAGACGAAACATCAGGACACGAGCCAGATTTTCACATTACAATTTAGTTATCCTATAATAGAGAAGTGCAGATATATACTTCTGCGCTTATCAAATTAAAATATTTAATATATACATCATGCAATGGTCAACCTGTGTGCATTCACACTAAACATCAGGACACGAGCCAGATTTTCCATAACAATTTAGTTATCCTATAGAGAAGTGCAGATATATACGTTCGCGCTTATCAAATTGAAATACTTAATATATACATCATGTAATGGTCAACCTGTGCATTCACACTAAACATCAGGACACGAGCCAGATTTTCCATAACAATTTAGTTATCCTATAGAGAAGTGCAGATATTACGTTCGCGCTTATCAAATTGAAATACTTAATATATACATCATGTAATGGTCACCTTGTAAAGAGCTGGGTAGAGGAGAAGCACACGTATTAATGAAATATCTAGCTAATCTGCTGTCTTTCCTGGTTCCCAATTATTGCATGCATGGTATAAAAACTGCATACACAAACCTTTTGCCGTCTCAAAAGAAGTCTTTTTTCCCAAGTTTTTTTCTGCGAGATAAACCTCTCTTGCGAGACTCTTAATCTTCATCTGATTCGTTGGGGAGTCTGCTCTGAAATCAAAAATGAAAGGAAATCTACATCAATTAGGAAAAGGGTTTGAAACATTAGTAATCACTTTATGCGTCACTTATACGCAACTGACTGTATTCAAGCATAACCTGTTGCCTTTCTAAAACCATTTTCTATATTTATAATATAATATACACTTGTTCCTTGTAATATACGTATACGTATGTATTGATGATAAAGTACATACAAAGCATATTTTCAAATTAATATAGCCACTCAACTGACTCAAGGCGCGCGATAATTAAAATGCATGCATGGCTTTCGATACAGTCGGTATTTGGGGTATTTGTTATACGAAATACAAAAAACTGCATTGAAAAATGGGACTTAGTCTATGACAATGCTATAATGAAAGATTTTGGTTTGGTTGTATCCCTGTAGTTCATATATAATCACCGTGCTAAACATAGCATAGAAAAATAACTTAATTGGCAAATTTAGCCCATGCATGCATGCAGCCGGAGGCTATAACCAAACACAATTTTTCCCATTTTTTGTTTAGGTTCACAGTTTCCTTTTTATTCCTTGTATACGGTGACCACAGCGTTAAAATTACAGAAAGTGAACACATAATACCTTTCTTCCACGTCGAATGTTTCCAAACCGTCTTGGTCTTCTTTTTGCTTAATTATTGTTCTGACAGTGCTCTAAATTGATTATTGCACGATTAATAATAAAATGGATTATGATAGTCACGCAATTTTTTAATCCCATATGATATCATGCGCTTGTTCGTCAATGCCGAAATGTTTCATTTTATTTTCGTTCAAGTTTCAAGCCAAAATTAGTGAGCTTTGGCATGTTTTCTTTGTGATTATTGGTATGAAATTCATTCCATTCGGTACCGGACAGACAAGCCGCTCTTAAATTTACATAATCTATGATTGTATGTTGTATAATGATACAGCACAGTTTATACATATGTAGCTAATGCTCCCTTTTAATCATGAAACACGACGTATTCGATACAAATTCAAATTTCACGTGATGCATGATATATTCAAGATATATTCAATTCAAATTTCACGTGATGCATGATATATTCAAGATATATTCAATTCAAATTTCACGTGATGCATGATATATTCAAGATATATTCAATTCAAATTTCACCTGAGGCATGCATGTGACAAGAATTTTTTTGACATGCAAACTTTGCATGCCGGATAATAGCCCCTTTTAAAGAGAGTTATTTTTAAAATAAAACCCAACCTTTATATCAGCAGGTACTTTAGCTTTGCGACTCCGCTTCACACTTGTATTGTTCTTTTCCTCAAACTGTTTGAGGCGCTGTTCAATAGCCACCACTGATTTAGACAGGCCTCCCAAAGTATCGCGCATACGATCATTCTCCTCTTTTTGTTTGTCCAACTTCTGTTAAAAAAAGAAAGCACACACCCGTGGATTAACAAAACCAGGTTTTAGTCTATATATATATATTATATAATATATATATATATATATATATATATATATATATATATATATATATATATATATATTAATAATTATTGTACAATATTTTACTTATAGCCTATACATACCTCATTCATTGCCATTTGCTGCTCCAAGATCCCTCGAAAAATGACCGACATTTCGCTCTCCTTAACAGAATCATCAGGAACTATTGATTCATCGTCTGTATGCTCATTTGAAATAGATTCATTGCCAATTGAATCATGATCAGACTGTTCGCTTGACTGATCCGACATTATTTTAAAGGCAAACCGGTTTAGCACTGAGCAGTTTTTTTCAAACCTTTAGCGCGATGTAAGCAACACTCAACTGAAGCGATTTCAAATGTGTTTGTGACTTTGTGTAACGAAATAAATTTGCCGTAGGCAGGGCGGTGTGCCAGCTTTTATCATTTATCACTTCCAACAGTATAGCTATGTCCTATATAGTCATATAATCTGCTCGTACAAAACTGTCGCAGATATATATGAATTTCATAGACATAACAGTTTTTAAAAACCTTCACAGGTGGGTTATATGCACCTGAGTTTGTATGTTTTAAGCCTTTTAATATATATATATATATATATATATATATATATATATATATATATATATATATATATATTCATTAAAGCGACATGCCTTTATCCGTGCATTCATGCTAATTGATATACAAACATGCGGATATTCTGGGTTGCAACGAACCACCTGTCGGATGTCGAGGTTTGGAGACTGACCAAAAATACCACTTAAAACAAGGGCGATATTTTTGTCATCGCTGCCTCCCTATACATGCATGCACGCATGTTCTTATAATTATAATAGTGACAAGTGTATATGCATGTTTTCATATCTAAATTGTACACCGTTAAGAAATGGGTAAAGTATGTGTAATATACTCAAAATCACCTAACCGAACTTTGCATAAAACCGAACTTTGCTGCCGTGTCCATAAACTTACATATCATTCAAAACATACCAATATCACAACAACCCTAACCCTATTTATACCTATACAAAAATGGACTTTTTATACATTTGGCCCTAGTCAAAACCCAATAAAGCCTTATAACATCCTCCAAGCCCGCGTGTTCGACCAAAAAATGAAATGTACGGTTTGTTTTTATCAATTGTACACCTAGTTTATCAAATTACGAAACTCACTGAAATTCATCAATAATTAGAGCGCTTTCAGCGCGCAATGAACAAATCGGATTATAGATTTCACATATCACGCAAGTCTTTTAAGCCAAACTTGACAAAGCTTCGGATGCAAAAAAGCGATAGAATTACTGCATTACCGATAAAGCGTGTGTAAAAACGAGTTATTGCGATAATAGTCATAATATACTGTTAGTAATAAACACTTCATGGGAAAGGTACGTGCAAGGCAGCATTGTCCACATTGTAATCAAAATGTTAGCTACTCTACATATCGACAACACCGAATGCGCTTTTTTGATAATCAAAGAGGGAAGTGGAGAGTGGATAGTTCTAACATCAATGACGTATATGAAGGTACGTATATATGTAGTATATAATTCAGCATTGTTTTTTTATGATGGATTGAAGAAAACCACTTGCCAGTTAGCATACACAATTAACCCAGTATAATACCTTTATAATAATTTATGATGTTCAACTTGCATATTGCATAAACATTCGCATTGACAAACCTTAGCGCTATCAGTAAAATCAGTTTTAGAAACCTTAAACCTATACATAGGTTGTTTGTTTTACTCTGAAGTCAGTTGTGAACAATGATATGCACTCTTGATAAAGTGGGAGTAAAATGAAAATTATGAAATAATGCATGTTTGTTTGGAAAGTTTCATGTCATCAGTGAAATCACCCCTAAATTTCCTTCCTCTATTTTATAGGCGAAGGTTCCGTAAATTTTCCAGTAAGTTCGAAATTTCAAGTACTTTTTGGAGAAGGGGAATCTTCAACATTATGTGAAGATAATGCCCTGCAAGATATTGAGAATGAAGTGGAATTCCAATTCCAAGAGAATTTAGCAGGGACACAACAAAATGACATAGCAGACGACACTAGCAGCAATGATGATAGCAAATCTGAGAGTAGCAGCACGGATGAAGAGATCTGGGAGGCTGAAGATGTACCAGATACAACTGAAAACAGGGAAGACAACGCGCCCGAAGAAAAATCATGTGCCCTGCCTACAACGTCAATAATTGGGGCCATGTCCCTTTTTCTATTGTTATGGCAAGCTTCGTTTGGCATTTCTGGGTCAGCAATCGTTGTGCTTCTGAAATTCTTAAAAAGCCTGATTGGTATTCTCGCTGATGTAAGTGGTTCAGAAATTATAAAGAATATTGCGGAATCATTTCCAGTAAGTTTGGCAACTGTTCGCGCTTTAGTTGGGGCTAGCACTGATGACTTCACTGTCTACACTGCCTGTCCAAAATGTTACACATTGTACTCCAAAGAACATTGTACAAAAACGTTGCCCGATGGTCGTGTAGTTAGCAACTCCTGTGCGCATGTACAGTGGCCAAATCACCCACAGATACGGAAACGTGATGCATGCGGAGAAAAATTAATGAAGAAAGTGAGAGGAAAGACTGGAAATGTTTTTTGGTATCCTCGAAAAGTCTACGTGTACCGAAGCCTGTTCAGCTCGCTAAAAAAGTTTATATTTCGAAAGAACTTTTTCGAAATATGTAATCAATGGAGGCAGACTGAAAATGATGTTGAATTAGAAGAAATGTGTGACATTCATGACGGCAAAGTTTGGAAGGACTTTCAGACCTTTGAAGAACAACCTTTTCTAAAAGATCGGAACAACCTCGCATTAATCATGAATGTTGACTGGTTTAACCCATTCAAGCATGCACCAGGATCTGTAGGAGCTATTTACTGTGTTTTCGCAAATTTGCCGCGACAAGAAAGATACAAGAGAGAAAATGTAGTGTTACTCGGTCTCATTGAAGGTGAACCCAAACACGATTTAAATTCCATTCTCAAGCCAGCCGTTGACGAACTTTTGACGCTTTGGAAAGGACATATGTTTCACCAAGGCTGGAGATGCTTTTTTGTACGTGTCGCCCTTCTATGTATTGCCTGCGATGTTCCGGCAGCAAGAAAAGTTGCGGGGTTTATGGCACATAACGCTACCCGTGGTTGCTCGAGGTGCCTAAAAGAGTTCCCTGTAAAACACTTCGGTGCAAAACCAAATTATTCGGGCTTTGAAAGAAATTCCTGGCCAAAACGGGACTCAAGATCTCATCGCAAAAATGCGAAAAAAACTTTGAAATGTACGTCATCCAGTCAACGAAAGAAACTTGAAAGCTCTCTTGGTAGTCGATACACTGAACTATTAAGACTACCGTACTATGATGGTGTACGATTTGTCGTGATAGATCCTATGCATAACTTGCTATTAGGCACAGCAAAATGTCTATTCCATAAATGGGTAGATTTAGGACTGTTAAAGCAGGATGATCTGAAAAAGATCCAAGTCCACATTGATGAAATCGTTGTCCCTCCAGATTTAGGACGAATTCCAAACAAAATAGAATCTGGTTCCTCTGGGATGACTGCTGACCAGTGGAAGAATTGGACATTGGTGTATTCACCTTACATCTTGTCCACTTTTCTGCCTAAAGCCCATTATGAGTGTTGGATGCTTTTTGTTTCTGCTTGTCGGCTGATGTGCGCAAGAACGATAAATCGAAGTGAATTAAAACAAGCGGATCAGAATTTACTTGCATTTTGTAACAAGGCCGAAAGCCTCTATTCCGAGGAGTTTGTGACCCCAAACATGCATCTACATGGACACCTCGCGCAATGTATTGAGGATTACGGTCCAGTTTATGCTTTTTGGTGCTTTTCTTTCGAAAGGTATAACGGAATTCTTGGTGGATACCAGCATAACAACAAGGCGGTTCCAGTCCAAATGATGAAAAAGTTTTTAGAAGAAGACTATCTTTCGTCAGCATCAACCACCCAAGAATATCCGATGTTCTTGAAGCACTTTGCAAACTTGGTTAGCAGTGAAAATGAAAAGCTTTCAGGGACATTAAAACAGGTTTTTAGCGCAGGTTTCCAAACGAGATGCCACATAAGCCAGGTTCATCCACGCGACGTCTCGTGGGAAGAAGATAACGCAACTCAGGAACCTATTCCGCCATTTAAAACCAAAGTCTTAGACGAAGAGGATTGCGAGGACCTAAAGAATATGTACAAGTCTATTTTACCCGTAAACGAAGAAACTGACGAGATTTATGTGTCTTCCAGTTATCTGCAAGTGGAAAGAATGAAAATATATGGTGAAATTTACGACTCATCATGCTGTAAATCACCAAGAGCTAACCACGTCACGGCGTCTTGGTTTCATGATAACAATATAGCTCTTTGTAGTGACCCACATTTCCGGCCAGCTATAGTAAGGTTCTTCCTAAAGCACACTCTTGAATTTAATCGCGCCAATGGTGAGAAAAAACAAGAAACGTATCTTCTGGCATGTGTTTCATGGTTTAAGGACCACGAAAAAAAAAACTATTTCAAGTCGCCATTGGAAGTATGGTGTAGAGATATGTTTGAAGATTCGGGTCCAGCATCATTTTTACCTGTTGGACGAATTTTTGGAAGATTCTGTCCTGTTCAAGGTAAAGTTCCACTCCTCGGAAACCAACTCGAGAATGTTTTAATTGTTAATCCTTTACAACAGAAGTGGGCTGCAGAATAGTAAGGAACAGAACTCATAGAATAATAATACTAGAATAGTGGCAAAAAATAGCATTACCCGGCATTGCTTGGTGGAAACATTGTATTAAAGAACTCGCAAACCTGATTATCGGTGATTATAATAATTTTTCAATAACACCTTGAAAACAATTAACATCAAATGTAGTGAAACAACTGCTTAATATAGACAAAAAAAAACTCTAGGATGTTTTGATCTAAAAGGGTCGACTTAAATCGAAACGTAGATATATATTTTTCGGTTTATTTTGTTATTTGATGCGAATTTTTTATCGCTTTCATACTGCTATGTCTGTTTTCATTTGTACACATGAAAGATGAAATGTTCCATGAAAATAGTATTCAAGCAAAATGTACACGAATCTGCATATTGCAGGAATAAAAACATTTCTTGTTTTAAAGCTCTGTTTACACGACGATTTAAAATGGGTACCCATTTTATTAGTGTCCGGCCTTTGTTTTGGTAGTCTGGACACTAATAATATTAATTCGACACGGATACCCATTTTAGTCCTGCCGTGCCAATAAATTGAGTGTAGTGTGAATCGGGCTTAAATGACACCAAACTGGATGATATTTTATGATTGTAGCTACTATAGAGTATAATTTATGCATGAAATTATCCATTATATGTATGCTGACAAAAAACCAGTATTCTGCCAATAAAATTCTTGTTGACGCATGATATCTGTATGAATGTTTGGAACAAATTATACACGACCTAAGCCCAAGTTTACACTACTCTTAATTTATTTATATTTATATGCCCGGTCTTTGTTTTGGTAGTCTGAACAACAATAAAATTGGGCCGTTTTAGCCGTGCCGTGTCAATAAATTGCGTGTAGTGTAAACGGTCCTTTAGATAAAATGTGCCCGCCTTTGGTAAAGCGCCAACAGGCGTAAGTATGAATTATAAATCAATTTGTACAAGATTTGTACATAATCAAAGGCTATAAACATGGTGTTTTGATGTATCAACACTCTGTTGCATCTTTATCTGTCAAAATTTATGACGTGTATGAGGTGCATGTTATATGTTTATATCAACCAAAGGTAAACGCAAAAAAGGTTTAAGGAGAGTTTTACATGACTTCACATGGCTAATTTGATGTCATGGCCATGCAAATCGGGTATAGTGTATAAACAGAGTGTGTTTGTTTCGCCTAGTCGGGATTACACGTTCCATATAAACAGGCCCTAAAATTGAAAGGACTGAATCCAATTAGCCAAACTTTACACCTAAGCGGAAATTGGCCATGATTTTGCAATTATATTGTGATAATTGTGCCATATGCATGCAATTAAATTGTGATATGCATGGTTGTGAAGATAGAACTTAATCGTTCATGCAGGCTGTGACATTTATCCAATGGAAAGGAAAAACAAATCAAATAATGCTCATCATAAGCGCTCTCTCGGCAATAGGAGGGAAAATACTCGTCGTAGACGAGAAATAAAAAGAAAATTGCGTAAATTGGCGAAGGATGAAGGAAGCAAACAAACAAACAACATTTCGAATGATACCATTGGCACTGGTTTAGCGAACGAGGTTAGGCATACAAGCGGTGAAAATCCTACACATTTAGAAAACATTAAAAAGCTAGAAGAGGAAAACAGTCGTCTGCACAAGCATGCAGTGTACTTCCACTACCGATGGAAAAAAAGCCAAGAGGAAACTAAGACGAAATGCCAACCAAAATTAATAGAACTTGACAGAAAGCATCTACATGTAGATGGAAAAGTCGGGGAAGGAACATTTGGAAACTGTTTTTTGGCAAAGTATGGATCTCTCAAAGTGGCAGTCAAAGAAATAAAGAGCGAAAGTTTAAACGAGAAAATCACCAGAGAAGCTGAGATACTACATAGCCTACGTCATCCTAATCTCCCTTTGCTTCTCGGCGTCTGTTTCCAGAAAAGTCCTTTTCTCATCATTACAACCTACCACAGTGTCGAAACTGAAGACGCCTTACTATCTACTACAATGTGCACTGCCTTGTCTGAAAACATTGTAAGTTCCGACCTTCGTCCACACTGGTTGGCCATATTGCACGACCTCTCTATGGCCATTTGTTATATTCACGAGAAGAATATAATTCACAACGATATTAAGACGAATAACGTGGTCATAGAGAAGCACGGCAAATGCTTTACTGCAGTTCTCATTGACTTTGGCAAAGCAACTGCAGCTAACAATGGCAAGAGCTACCCAGAATTTGGCGAGAAGGAGCGAGAAAAGTATGAGAGGAAGTACCCATACTTGGCACCAGAACTTAAATCAGGTGGAGGGAAACAAACAGTACGCACTGATGTTTATTCATTTGGATATTTAATGAAAGTCGTCAGCCACAGTCTCGAAAATAGGGAACTATCTTCACTTTATCACTCGTGTAAGAACATTTCAGAACTAAATAGGCCAAATATGCATGAGATTGAGAATTCATTGGAAAAGCTTAAGTTAAGTAGGTAATTTTTTGTAGATTGTATATGCCCCACTGTCCGCTAAATAGGTCACAATTGTAGCACTATATTAAATAAATAATTATGAACATCTAATCTACCGGATGCGGAAATTCGGGCTATCACCATGCAACTTATAGTAAATAAGTCAGCCTAAAACAGGTTATTGTTTAATTATTCTGGTCCTCTATACACACGTGTACACGAATTCAGGTAAATTATGATATACATATATTAAATAACTCCTAGCAAAAAGGAATTTTTTTATCAAAGATGCCTTGATGTCGCTTTGTTTGTCATCATTCAAAGAGCATTAAACTTGTAAGTGAAATTGACCAGAGCCAGCCCTATTTCCCGCTGAGGAGTCCACATGCATAAAGTTGCTTTCCAGTCACGCGTTTTTCGTAGGCACACGCACGAAAAATTTTATAAATGCTTCTAAATGTTTATTATTTAGGTCTACAATTGCATACTAAAATATATATATATATATATATATATATATATATATATATATATATATATATATATATATATATATATATATATAGAAAGAGAGAGAGATTTGCTGAAGCGAATAATTAATTTATTGCTTCCGTGCATTGTGATTAGTTATTCGAAGCTAACGTAGCCCACTTATAGAGCAACTTGCTTAATAGTAGCCCACTTCTAGAGCAACTTGCTTATCAAGATTTAAGTACAGGGAAATTTTGTTACGATTTGGAGAACGTGCTCTCCTGATTTATTCCTAGCAGGATTAAAAACTTCAAGGCGATTCGCACTTCGTTGGCGATTCATTGCTACAGTTAAGTAATATTCCCCTCACGTGCGTTGAGCATGTTTCAAGTGCAAGGTCAGCGTACCTATATAAACTGAAACGTTCCGAAGAGTTCCAGGTCATTTATATCTGGCTGCCGTCGAAGCAATTCGAAAGTTTTCCCCACACCCTCCCTCTCTTTCTATAGGTGGTGTGCTACGATAATTTCTATGTAGTTATGCTGGTGTGGGCGTTTTTATCACCCCATCTTTTCTGTGCTGTATTAAAATACGAACGTTGTAACAATTAACTATAATTTGTTACTTTTGACTTAATTAAATCGGCATGTGCTTTAGCACATTGCCATTATTTTATCCAAAAATGTGATCTGTTTTATTTTAGTTGCATGCCTCTAATTTGCCCAGAAAACAAATCAGTTCAGAACTGCTGCTTTCAAGCCAGTTTTTTCTAAATACCTTCAGTTTACCTTGGGGTATTGTTTACAGCAGTAAAAAGTAGCTGCAAAAAAATAGTCTTCGCTTCGATTTAGCTATATACTAAAGCCTAATACGTTGAACAATTAACCTGCGAACAGACTGCACACGAAAATGGCTCATCCCCCAAATTTATTTACACACCTTGGAACAACCGTGTAAATACCCATCGCGGCATCGCCAAATTATTAGCCGTTTAATCTAAGTGCATTTGGAACAACCGGCTCTGGATTATTAAGCCGTTGTATTCTAGACGTATTCCGTTTAACGAATACCACAGAATTTCATCAGTATTCCAAACCGTATAGTAGTTGGTAATACTACGGAATATTATGGATATTCTTACCGTATTCTGACTCGCTATACGGTATTGGAATATGTATTTTATTCCGACCCGTATAGAGAGTGGAATACTTGGGAATACGCAGCTTTTCGCCCAGTGTTTTTTTACTCACCCTGTATATGACGTTCGCATTATTGGGACAACAAAAAACACAAATAGTTCAACCAGAACTCCAAATAACGGCAGGTTTTCAATCATTCTGTAAAAGAACTTTAGGTTTCCGGTAATATTTCATTTCACACGAAGCAAACAATTTTCGGAGCAAGCCAGTCCTAAACTTATATTATGAAATGACTCAAATAAGTTGGTGGCTAATATTTCTATCATTCGGTAAAAATATTAACTAAAGTGGAGTAAACACAACCCGTTTTTCCCTCCATCGAGAAGACAGTTGACTCTTAAGTATAGCTTTAGTAAATGTTTAAATTCCAGGCTTCAAACCATCAAAACACTAAAAATTCATGAAAACTAATCGCTAAGTGTTATTTGTGGGATATTTATTTGCAGTCGATCGTCTCTAAAAGCTATTAAGGACATTTGTTCTATCGAAATCATTAGACATAACTCTTGTTTTTAAACATTTTTTGGTACATATCGTCAAAGAAAGCTTTTACAGAAAGGTGACAAAATGACATAGGATTTTGCCCACTTTAAATTGAGCAACCCGGATGTAATTTTAAATCTCTGGGCGGAGTTTAATCCTCGCACATGTCGGTGCATGACTAAACCCGGTTTTCCACGGGCGATATTTTCCGCACTATATATAGCGACTTTATTCTTTTGTATTTGAGCAATTTTTTCCAGATGGTTGCAGTTGAGAGCTCTGAAACAAAAGTAAAATCTCGCTTCGCGCTTGTGGAAAACCATCTTCATTGAAATAGCTATATATACTATAACAAAAGATGTTATAGTTCTCCTCCATAGTCTCCTTGCTTTAAATACAAAATGTGTGTGGCAGTAACAAAGACCTTTTTTCAGGTCATCTTAGCACATCACACCCAATGATGATGGAGAAATCTTGTACGATTATACGCAGAAAAAATACTTCAGCTGAAAGTGGGATATACTCTATAAAGCCTGAAGGACTCGAATCCTCGGTTCAAGTATTTTGTAACATGACTTCAAAGAATGACTCTGGTGTGACAGAGATTGGACATGACAGTCAATCAAGAACATTTGTGGACGGATATGAAGATCCAGGCTCTTATAGGAAAACAATTAAATATGAAATTTCCATGGAGCAGATCGTTGCTATTATCAACCAGTCTAAGAATTGTGAGCAGTTTATAAAATATGAGTGTCTGGACAGCCCATTCGTATATGCTCGTGATAGAAATAGTTGGTGGGTATCACGTCAAGGTTCAAAGATGAATTACTGGGGTGGAGCGGCAGTCGACAGTGAACAGTGTGCCTGTGCAGTGAACAACAGCTGTGCAGGTGGACGCAAATGTAATTGTGACGAAAATGATCAAGTATTGCGTGAAGACAGTGGATACCTGACAGACAAGAACACGCTGCCTGTTGCTGAACTAAGATTTGGTGATACTGGTTTGAATAAAGGTAGCTTGGCTGATGAGTATGGTTATCATACACTTGGTAAATTACGATGCTGGGGTTGAGGAGTTGAACAACAAGCCTCGCGTGGTTAACGCTGTCACCAAATACACGATTTTTTTGTTTATAAGTTCTATATAGCACTGTTTTCAATGGCTTGTGCTCCCCTAACCTCCCCACAGCATGAAGAGCATACAGCAAACCAATTCAAATTAATTTTAAACATTTTGAGCCAGTTATTGCCCAATCGGTTGGGTGCCTGATGACTCTGGGCTCGGCTTACACATCTCCTATCCTGATGATATATTATAGTTAAACAAATTGTCAAAATACAACTATGCCGGATCGCTGCTTTGATCACGCTGTCTGAGAGAGTAGTAGCTTTAGTAGTCACATGCCACAAAAGTGCCTCATGCAAAAATGGTAAAATAATCGTTAACGTGTTAAAGATCAATCCTGTTTCCATCATCGTTTTTTCATTGATTTATTAGCAATGAGATTAAAATGGGACTTAGGTTGACCCATGTTCAATCTTATCAGCTTTTCAGCTTTCAACTGAGCACTTTTAGGGTCCAATTACATGAAGCGACTTCACCCTGCAGTTAGTCCGCTTTGCCGGGAAGCATGTTGTCTCGTAGTGCCGGTAGCGCGTTTGAAGCTTGCCGAGTCACCTTTACGATTGCATGTTTTTCACGTTTTCGAGTTCTTACAAACTCCCAAATTTTGGTTTATTTATGAATTATCATAACATTATTTACATACATGAACGATGCATTACATTTTGTGCTTCGTGAATGCGCGATGGTGAGTCTAGTTCGAGGGAGTCTTTTCAGAGGTTCCTTGAGTTCTAATGTATAAACAAGCACTATTTTTTAAGTTTTTAAATTTAAAACTGCGATGCAGGAAATTTTTCGCGTTTTTAATTCTATATAGTCAAAGAAACATTCCTCTCGAGCAATCGATCGGCACGCGCGTACTATAGGTATGTTAAATAATACATGTTATATAGTTTTATATAATTATGTAGTGTCAAAATTTTCTTGGCTTTTTATGGAACAATAGACCCATGTTTTACGGCCTTTTAAAAGATATTGGCAATAAAAATTAACTTGTCATTATTTAAAAGAACTCCGAAAAATATAATCATATATACCACTTATTAACCGAATTTGGGTCCGTACTAGAAAAATATCAGACCGAGGTCTTGATAGTACGGACCGAGCGATAGCGAGGTCCGTACATAAAAGACCGAGGTCTGATATTTTTCCAGTACGGACCGAACGTATTCGGTTAATAAGGGATTCATTATATGGCATACAGTATTTAGTTTATTTATTTATACAATGCGCTGCATTCTTGCCAGCTCTTTCGCCAGCCAGTCGCCAAGCAAGCACTGAAGTGGCTTCCAAAACTTTGTTTTTCTACTCGTTAAATAAGAATGATACAGTAATATAAACAAAAATCAAAGATAAATAAATATAATATTCACATGTACCAAATAATGCTCTTCTTCGTCCATTCTTCGTCGAAATTTTTCGTGTCAAAAATAAAAGTGCAAGCTTGTTTTTGTTCAAAAATATGAGAGTTGGACCGTTACTACGGCAACGGTCTAATACTGGGGGATTCCAGACCGACAAAGAACCAATCAGCGCACGCCATTTTAATCACGAGATCGCGTGCCATATAATAATGAGTTTTATCATCAATTTTTCATATCTTGCTTAGTTCTTGAAATAATAGGTTGGAATTAACGAGCTGTCCGCCATCTTGTCTTATAATTAGATCTAATTAAATGACGTCACAACCAGGGAAAAAATTATGAACGCGCGGGAATCGTTTTAATACGAATAGAATGCTGTTGT